TGTCACCCACTCACGCTCACCAGCATGCATTAGCATAACGGAGCTGTAGTGTGACTTTGATTGAAGCCAGCTTGAGTTGAATGCAGTATCAAAGCATAATTTAGCAGAAATCAAATCTAATTTACTGTGCATTGTATTTAAATTCTCAAAACACAGTTTCAAGTGAACTGTCCCAGACCACTAATCTTAATTGACCTTTTTATATTTGGGTCTACTTCTGTGAAAATCACACAATGTACTTTCTTATAAAGATACTGTTTTATAACTTGTAAGTGTTGATTAAACACTGAATTGTGCCCCTCTGTTCCCTATCATTTCTTCTTGCAGCTGAAACAACAAGGTATAATCACTTGACAGATTAAGCAAGTAGGCTATTACATCAGAGTTATATGAAAGTTGTCTAATGTTTTCAGGTTTTAGAGAGGGTATAAATATGCATTTTATACTTTTTTGTCTTCCAAACATATAGGCAAATTGCCATTGTCATAACTAGAATATTTATCCAGAGTTTATAACTCAATCTCTTTAATTCACATTGAGTTTAAAATGTGACTTTTTAATTGTCATCTTGAGAACCTAATTGTGTTTTTTCTATTTGAAAAGAGGCATTGTATGAAATCCATTTTCGGTATAGCTATACACTTTGTGCTATTGTGCCGTATTTATAAAATGATACCTCTGTCAACTCCTTCCCATTGGTGTCATCAGCCAAGTGCTGTCTTTTTAAGCCATTTTCATTGCCACCTGGCAGAAATACTGAAACTGTGGAGTGTTATCACAAGAATTATTGATGCAATTTTTCATTTTAAAATCCCCAAAATAAATTCCTTTAGCTGATCTTCCTTAGTAGAAGATTGCAATATAGATCTTAGGGAGGGAATGAGAGTCTACAAAAGTAAAAGTGATTGCTGCAATTTGTTTTGTTGGCTTGGCTTCAAGTGACAATAGGAAAGGCATTTTCAGAGACTGAAATTCTATTTAACTTTTTACTTTGTTAAATGCTTCAAAATTTTTAGTTTCTCTTTTTTCTTAAATTTTAGAAATGAAAGAATAATTCCAATTCCATTGAAATCCATGAGCTTTAGGTTTTGGTGATAAGAAGCTATTGGATGCATTAGAATAACAGAATATTTGTAGTAACTTAGAATGAAAGTACAATATAAGCATACATCACATGAAGAGATATTTTTAGAGTATTTTTAGGATTAACAACATAAATGCTGATAGATTTTTTGTTAGTGATCATTAAAAATTTAGGACTGAATAAAAGTTCAAGGAATTGTGACTTCCTGGACATTTTGGATTATATCATCAGTGATATATATTATGCTATGATATTGCAGAATTTCTTTGTCACTTAAGAGTTGTGATGAAATGCTTTCCTTTAGGTGCTACTATAAATTATGATCTTCAATTTGATTTTCTGTCCCAGATTACTAAGGTTTCCTAGCCCTTTGCCTTTCCAGTCTTAATCTACAGTGCTTTCAGAGTAGTCCTTACAAAGCACAGATCTGATTATGTCTCTTACAAAAAAAACGTCTTTGAACAGATATCAAAACAGTTTCTGCCTGGAAGCAAGGGGGTAAGAGGGGAGACGGAGGAGGCGGGGCGGGGGGGGGAGAAACAGAGGGGGTGGAGCAAAGGGGGGAGAAATTCCAAACATTGTATGCACATATGAATAAAAGGTAAATAAAAAACTTTTAGGATAAAAATTTAAACTCCTTTAGCATAAACTATCAGACCCAATCTGTATCAGCTCTGTAACCAGAGATTCCTTTTAGTCTCAACATTCTTTATCCTACTCTAGCAATTCCAATCTCACAGATCCCTGTTTTAGGCTGCTTATTTCTGTTTCAATTGACCTTATTCCTCTAGTGAACTCTTAATAGAGCTTTAAGACACTGATCAAATGTAGACATCTTCTGGCATCTCTCTTCTTTCCTTACCACATGTCTAATTTGGTTCTATTTTATTCCATTTCCCTCAGTGCTCTCTGCATTTTTCTACTATTACAAAAAATATATTCTGTAATGTTCGTTTATTTATATATTTACTTAGAGGTATCTGCCATAGGACAAGAGGCATTTTTTAATATGGTTTCTCACACCCTGTACCAAGCAGAATGTCTGAAAATTTGAGGTCAATTAATACATTTGAGTGAACAATATTTTCTCAGATTACTGGATATATAGGGATGGTCAATTTTCAGTCCTTATTTGGGGGAATATATTTGAATATCTGTGATAAAATGAAGGATGCAGATTTCAATAGCATTTTGCAAAGTCACTCATCTAAAAACATTTTGAAAAGTTTGAAAATCATATTCAAGGAAGGCTGTAGGTATATTTAAAGTACCAATAGTAATTTTACTAAAATAAGTAGATGATAGAGACTGTTATGCTTAAAACTATATGTTTTCATTGCTTTCAATTGTTTACTGTCTTGCATATTCTCAGTTATTACATTTAAAAACATGATATGAAGGAGGACTCTTTACAGTCCCACTGAAAGCAATTAAATTTAAATTATTCCCACCCAAAACAATGTAAATGAACTAATAAGCTGAATTTGTGACCTTTATTAAAGAATGTTCAATAACTGATTTTTACTGAATTGAATGCTTTTTTAATTCTTGATGGTGAAACACAATCTAAATTACTTCTCACAAAGCTAGTGTCTTGTCGGCACTATTACTTTTCATTCATAAGATAGCAGAGGAACTACATACTTGTTCTCAAATATTTTATTACCTATATAATTTTTTTAGGAAAAATAAATCCCATATTATAGTTGATAGAAACCAGACTTAATTAGTTTTGGTACAAACACCTGATAGTTTTACATCTCTACTGAAAAATGGACATTGATGTGTCTTAAGAGTTTTTCCTAATGCGATTGCATAATATTTATTTAAGCTATCATTCTTATCAGAAAACATGTAACAAAAATCCATGTATTTACTGATTCAGTAGAATTGTGTGGTAATAACTAGAAGATTGTAAGAAGCATGTAATCTCCTGAAAATGCAATCCAACATAAAGCACACTCTGTTCAAATAGATCCATAAATCTGGATTCTCCATAGTGTTGGAATGAGTCTTCTGTTATCTATAGTTATAGAAAAAGATTTTACTTACTAGATTTATCCTTTCTGTCCCTGAAGTATATGTTAGATATGTTGAATTAAGAGACAATATAATAGAATGCCAACGAAATAAGTCAATATAAATTACACTGATTTTTTTTGAGAAAAATACTGCTGGTTTCTCTTGATAGCATTTTTTTCTTTGTTAGAATATATAACTTGTGTTAAGTTTGGGGCTATCTTACATTTACTCCGTTCTTGTATCTGTACTTATATATTCAGAAGACTGAAAGAATTCCAAGTGAAGGCCTTTATTTAACATAGCATATTGTTAGAAATTTTGGAGTTCAAATTTTAGGGTTATTGCCATGTACAAATTAAAGTTGATTTAAACTTTTCTTGCTCTTACTTTTCTAGCATAAGCAGCTAGTTAAATTGGAAACAGATGATTAGAGGAGTCATGGGATAAACTGGTGTTTTCCTTTCAACAGAAGTGGGTTTGGGTATGAAGAAGATGTCATCGTGAAAGCTTCATGTCATACTGCCTCCTATTTTTCCCTTTTTTGTCACTAAGCCCCATTGTAAATCTGAAGTCTCTTAGGATTGTTTCCCCATCCCTTTCTTTTATTTTCCATTAGATTTTTCTCATGTGTTGGTCTCATTATAATTACCTCATCATTCTACTAGTCTTCCAACTAGACTCCTTACTTTATTGACCAAATACCCCTCACTCCACCCATACTATGTTCGTTAGAGGCTTAATGCTTCCAAATAGTTTGCATTGCATCTATTATTCTGAAGCTTAGAAAGAGAATAATATCCCTTGGATGTCTTCTTAATTCTGCCTTTGTTACCATGATGCTTATATTACTTAGACCCTCCATTCTTTCCAAATTAGACATTGTTATGCCAATGTGTTCTCCCTTGCTTCTTCTTTGCTCACAACTTGTTTGATGTGTTCCTTAGTCCACCTACCCAAAAGCTGCTCTAGTAATGTCCATTTTCTACACAGACCTTTTCATGGCTACCACAACACAAAAAGAGCCCTGTTTCCTGAAGTCTTATCACATTTACAATATTTATTGTAACTTAAGTGCTCCTTTAGGTACTTTGAGAGTACCTCTATTACAATACTCAGGTTTTTTCACTTTTATTGTTGTCATTGTCATCACAGTTTTTACTTTTCCATTAGACTGATCACCTTGATGACTGTCAATACTTTTCATTTCTATCTTTAGTGACCAGTGAGGGTGGAGCATAGAAATTGTCTGACTATTGCTTATCTCTTAACATAAGATTAATCAAATTGACCAAACTATTGTAATACATTTATTCATATTGTTAGTTTCCATTGTATGTAATTTCCATTTCTTAAATACTTCTTGTCTTTAACCCTTCAACTCTTCAATTCTAAAATAATAAAAGCACTTAGATAATAGGAATCATCTCTCATGCCTTCTGGTATCCCAGTGCCTCATACAATGTCTTACAAATATTATAAGAAAATTTATGTCTATCAAAATATTGATTTCAGAAGAAGGGGATAGTTATGTAAATGTAAGGGAGTGATTCTTTTCTGGCTTTGTTCAAAAAGCAGAACCAAATTGGCAAACCGCATTTTTTCCCTTAAAAACATTAGAGTCATAAGAAATCTATTTTCCTATGCAAGAACATAAGACAAGGATTATAATATACAACATTTAAAAATGTCTGCTAATAACTTTACTTCTTTCCTCACATTTGGTAGAATGCTTTTTCCACTTTTTCTTAGTGTTTTGAGAAGGGCATAAAAGTAAGTACAAAACTGTAGCCTCCCTCTGGCACTAAGCAATCCGCTTATTACCAGATCTTCTCTGATATCTTTTTCTTTTGTCAACAGCTGATATTTACACAATTTCTTTCCTTTTAAATTATAGCTCCTCCACAGTTTGTGGTTAGGCCAAGAGATCAGATTGTTGCTCAAGGTCGAACAGTGACATTTCCCTGTGAAACTAAAGGAAACCCACAGCCAGCTGTTTTTTGGCAGAAAGAAGGCAGCCAGGTGAGTATGAAGCTTGACTGCTTTTCTGACATTTTTGAACTTTCCCTGTTTCTGGTGCTCCTTAAAACTTGCCTTGCATGTATTGCTATCAATGTTGAAATTATTTTATTTCAAAGAAGGAGACAGATGATTCTAAAGTAAGTATGAGTCAAATGCTGTAGTACTACACTCTTTATCTTCCAGTGTTAATTTTTAAAATTATGTGTCATAGAACAGAAATAAAGCAGTGTAAGAAGTTACTTTAAAAATTTGACCCAAATCTCTGTAGTTATTTAGAATCTCCAAAAGTAAAAGTATTATTGATTTCATGCATAGAGTTACATGGTATGATTAAGCAAATTAGACATATAAATTACTTAGAACAGTCCCTAACAGAGTGGTATTGGTCAAAAAAAATTTCCATTATTAATTAGCCTAAATCTAATTTTCAATTTACTGTCTTAGAGAACAATAAAAGTGATGTTTAAAACATCATTAATTTAAATATGTTTCTATTTAAGATAGAAGAAATGTACTCTTCCATTGTCCCATCTAGATTTCTTTATATAAGGATTAGACAGGAAATAATACATTATGTACAAGAAGGAACCAACTGCCTTGTTTTTGGTGTCCTCTTTCTGTCCAGGATGGTTTCTCAAAGTCTCTTCAAAAAGCCAATTGCTGCATTAATATTGTCATGTAAAACTTGCTCCAAATTTGGACAAATGCTAGAGACTTACTGGTGCTGTATCTCAGCATTTTCTGATATTAGACAACATTTTGCAAGAATTTCTTGGAGAAAAAATGGAAACTATTAGAAATTTTGCAAATCTTGCAAGAGATGGGAAATATTTTAAATTACATTAAGAGGACCTGTTAATCGGAACCCACATATGTCCATCTGGTTAGAGAGACTTTAGGAAGTTCTGCTCAGCCATCCTCTGTAACTGCTGTATGTTCAAGTCCTATACCATCCTTAATCAAGCACTTTAGTGACTCAGTCTGGATGGATGGATGGTCTTTATTACTTTCCTCAATTCTCCTTGTCAGACTCATTTTCCCTCTAACTTATGGAATATAAAGGCAATGATGAGTAAATAAGTTAAAGTGATGGTTCTTGCTTTATCCCACCTCAGAATTATTTCAGATCTTTACTTTCAAATCTGTTATCATTTAATAACTATTAGATTTTTATTTATAGTTCCTGGACTATTTACTTAAAATTTTCTTTCTGATGAAATGATCCCAAACATTAAAGTGAGTGTAAAGGAACATGAAATAGTTAAACACACACTCACATACTGAAAAGGAGAGCACTCAAAGCCATTTTCCTCCCTTTTAATTGCATAGTCCTTGTAATGTTCTTTAACCTTACTGAAGATACTCTTTTTAATCTAAACTCCGTGTATGTACATTTTATTTCTCATGGTTTATGAAGATTATACAAATAAATTGGTTTATATGTAAAAGTTCCTTATATGGTCATGAAAAATATTGCCTTGCCACTGATAGTATATATAATTATGTAATGGAATTTAATTATTGCAGTTTTACACTTCAAATTAATCTTTTGAGTGAAATATATCTTGTCATAAATATGGTAAGATTTATCTATATGATAAGACTATCTCATGTGTAAATTATGTCTCCTAAAATACCTCCAAATTGGATGCGAGAAAATGTGTATTGGTCCTTTCATCCAATAAATATACAGTATTTACCATTATTTTCAATGGTTTTGAAAAAATAATTGTCAAAAGCATTTAAGCATTCATTTTGCTATTATATGACAAACTGAAATAGAATTCCAAATATAGTACCACTAAAGGTTGCATGAAAATTCTGTTTAGGTACAATGATTTATTTATAATCTTTTGTCTAGTTTTGTTTTCTTCACTGATCTCCTAACTATCAGAGAGAGAGAGAGAGAGAGAGAGAGAGAGAGAGAGAGAGAGAAATAATTGAGGACAAAAGAGAAGTGCTTGAGCTAATAGTAAATTTTCAAATCATGAATTGGAATGTTAGGAAAAATAAATTTGTCTTATTGTTTCTCGTGTCCAATTTGTATGGTGATCTGTGACTATCTATCAGTAGAAACAGCTAGGAGTCTGGACTTAATGGTCCATATTCCTCAATGTATGCTGATAATGCTAATTAATACTGATAGGATATCCTGGCACTTCAAGGCAAGAAAAGCTCTGTAGAGTTCCTGGTTTTTCTTCTAATCCATTTCCTTTTACCTATGTCATATAAGCAGGAAATAAAGATGATAAGTTAAACTCAATCAAATGTAATTTCCATGTCAGAGAATCATTTAGAAGGTGGACTAATACTATACTATAGTGGAAGAGATCCCGGAGAGAATTATCCCATCTGATGCATTAGTGCTATGTAAATTAGTATTCTAATGGCTAATTGGAGGAAAGTGCATACTTTGAATTATTGTATCATTTTAAAGTGACTGTAAAATTTAGACTCTTCGCTTTTAGATGGTTTATTTCTGTAATATATTTGGATTTCAAAGGAGATTTAGCTTATTCTTAAACAATCGTTCATATTTATGAAAATGCATAGCCTTATATAATAAATGCAAATTTTAAAGGAGGGAAATAGCATTTTGAAATTATATTCCTGACACACTACCAAACATCGCTCCTTTTAGAATGAGTTTAATAACATGGCAATGTTTATGTAAAGTGGGCTTATGGTATCACACTTGAATCTAATAAAGTGGACATCCACCATGTTGCAATAAAGAGAAGAGCTTCTAATTAAAGTAGGACATCATTTGCAGGATTAAAGTCATTTAGTGTAATTGAAAAGTGTTAATACCTTATTTTATCCTCTTCCATTGGTATTACTTCAAGGGTAAAAACATTTTAAGGTGAAAATGTGTCTTGTGCCTTTAATTGAATGTTATTACCTCCTGATTGCAACTTATTGAAACTGTTTAATTACAAACCTGGAAAATTAATTACTATATCGAGAAACAGATCCCAGAGGGTGGTAATAATGTTCTTTTTTGTAAGTAAATACAACATAAAAATTGATATGTCCATATTTATAATCCAACTTGGAAACATACCTCAATATGATTTATTATACCCAAATGTTTTTCTTAACTGAGGAACAATAAAGCAATATAGGTCATCCAGATTAATGTTACTGACATTATTTAAGAACTTTAAAATTTTGTGATTATGCTGTATAAGATATATTAAAGGCTTTAATGAGATGAATAACAAATTAAAATTTATTTTTAAAAAGAAAGTGATGCTATGAAATTGTTTGAGGTAGCATGCCAAGATATAGCATTTGTTCATACCTGTTCTGAGTTGCAGAAACTTTAGAAGATTTGTCTTTCTCTGTGTCGTTCTTGAGCTCACATTTTTGAACATCTTTAGGACAAATTCAGTTGCTCTAATAATATTCAAAGTGTTCAACAGCAATTATATTTTTTGTTCTTTGTTACCGTGCAGTTTATAAAACACATACATAGTTATTGTTACAGTATAGAGCCTCACAAATATCTTAAATGATAAGTGATGTGATCATTTTTCTGTCCTTTTTTATAAACAGGGAGACCACGATTCAAAGATATTAAGTAATTAGCACAAAGTCAGGGAGTAAGTGGTTCAGATAAATAAATTTCAATTACCCTGATTTTATCAGTACATGCTGTGTATATATGTTGAAATATTATGCTGTACCCCATAAGAACATGTGAATATTACATGCTAATCAAAATTTAAATTTTTTAAAAGATACAGTGTTTTAAAAACTACAGATGATTTTTTTTAACTAAAACACCATGATTTGGAAAAATTTCCCCAGTCAAACCCACCGTGTGGTATATCATCCTTTCATTACCATACATTTCATTACAGTATATTTTTAAGTCTATACATTTTCTTTTTCCAACCATATTCCTGTAATTGAAATAGTTGTTGTAAACATAATTTTCCTTCTAGTGGGAAAAATTATTGAAGAGACTGTATTTGTTTCCACAGAACCTACTTTTTCCAAACCAACCCCAGCAGCCCAACAGTAGATGCTCAGTGTCGCCAACTGGAGACCTCACAATCACCAACATTCAGCGTTCAGATGCGGGTTACTATATCTGCCAGGCCTTAACTGTGGCAGGAAGCATTTTAGCAAAAGCTCAACTGGAGGTTACTGATGGTACGAAATTTTGTTCGATTTTTCTCATGACAATAATGATTTTTATTTCAAGATACACATTAACCACATGAAAATTTTTGATTTATTAAATCATTTAGGTTAATTCTTATCTCCTATATTTGACTCCAGGAAAGTAGCATTTTTAATGGTTTCTATTTCTCCTTGATTTAATACCATATGTTTTCTCCCCAAAGAACATCAAAAGCAGCTATTTTTAATTTTAAAATATGGTGATGCATCATTTTAAAGAAATGGCAGTACACTCACTGTGTTTACAAATGTAATTTTTGTATTTTTATTTAATCTTATGCTGAAATGACTGCTTCCAATGAACCTTAATAATTTCATTTTACTAGAGGAGTAGAAGATATCATCTTTAACATTATCAGTGAGACAGATGAGTTTTAAGTTAGATAATCACATTATGACATCCCTTAGTGAATTATACATTCACTAAGTTAATTAATTAAATACCTTCTGAAGTATTGACAAATGCAGAAATTTTGTTTTTTTACCTGCATATATGTACTTTGAAACTTAATTGAGGTACTTATACGTTCATAGTGAAAGTTGAAAAGGATCTAATTTTTCCCCAAGTTTATTTGTCACAATTTATACCTAGGGGACTTAGATATTTCATGTGCCTCTGAGCATGAATTTGTTCCCTCTTATTTGATATCTTAAATTAAAATTTCTTTATTTTTGTTTTATATTTATGAGCTTTTCTGAATTTGTTATTTTTTTCCCCTTCGTGCTGGTTTCTGAGATATCAGAGCATTGGTTTCTGGCCTCTATGTTTCCGTTCTTTTTCTGCTGGTAAAATTCAATGTGCTTTCATACAACTAAATTAACTTGTAGGATAAAAGGTCATTTAAAATTAATAGGAAGACAGTATTTTTAGGTACTTGTCCATGATATGGCCAGATTCAGCACCATGTCAGGAATGAAGATAAACAAAACAGGCAATGTTGGCTGCAGAGACATGAGTTGTTAATGGTTTCACCTGCTGGTGCTACAGAGATTTACTGCTGCAGAACTGAAAGGAGAAGCCAAGTTCAAGGGCAACAGTCATGAGAAACTCTTCCTTAGATGGGAAAGATTTTGATCACTCATTCCTTAACATTTCTTGCACAGAATAAAAGATAATTACCAATCTTTTTAAAGTTTTCATATTTTTTATCTCAGCAGAAATATCTAGATACATATACTTGAAGAATAAGATATTTGGGCCAAGGTCTAAGTTTTACTGTCCGGTACTGAGGCGTTTCAAACATAATGAGTAAAAATATGTCTAGCTATTTATAGCATTTTACAAAAGACAAACTTTTGTATCATTTTACAAAAAACAGACCTTAAACATTTCTATTTTATTAGCACATATTAATTATACAACTTGAGGATTCTCACTGTGATAAATTTCCATCCGTGCATATGATATTCCCCTCTATAACTTTTTCTTATCCCTCCTTCACTTCCTGTTTTACTTTTCTTCTAAATGAGTAATTTGTTAGGGAAAAGTCAAACTGTACTTGTGGAAAGAAATGAGTGATTTAGAAGTAGTTGATGCAACTGCTGGGGTTTATGAGACTGGTAGATATTCAGAATTATGCCTGATGTGATGAAAAAGAAAACTTCTGAAAATTATATCAGCTGATTATACCTCACAGCCAGTTATTCTCACATGTTTATGATGTCAAAATTAGAAGAATGATGACCAGGTTTAAATTTTCTGATGACTGGGATACCCCTGAACATTTTCATACAAATAATTTGACTAGTATCTTCTACATTGATTTTTACTGAAGTAAGCAATTGAAAAGTCAAGATGCTTTTGCAAAAACATTGAGTGGAGGTTATAAAGTTGTTGATTTCAACAGAAAAATAAATCTATCTGCAGATTTAAATACAAGCACAATTATAATAACTAATGCTGTCTCTACATATTAAGTTGACACATATGCTGATGACTTCAGTTTTTATTCTGGCTTAGAGTTTTCAAATTGATTAGTGAGTTAACAATATGTAATCATCAGTTTCATTTCAGACATACTTTTTTGTATGACCCAAAGCAATTTTGAGATAATTGAAATTCCATAATTAAATGAAATTACCTATTATATTTAGATAAGCCAGTGATTCTTCCATCTATATTAATATTCTGTTGTTATATTTTTGTGCTTAGACTCATTGCCTGGGAATATTTTAAATCCAACATTTATACAAAATGAGATTGCTAATGGAGATGAAAAATGATACTTTTGCAGATTATGTTTCAATACACCCAAGTTTCAAAATATAGCTTGAAAAGATCTTCTCATCAATTCACTGACTCTGTTCTTCATTTCTTCTTTTTCTGCTGCATCTTTTTCTCTCAGAATATAGAAAACTGTAATGAAAATTCTATTGATAGAGCCAATAGAATCCAAAAAAATGCAGTGTATTCACACCTTATGCTGACAATAAATGTCACATGATGATCTTATATGTGTGGTTTATTGAAAACTTATAATAGATAGATAGAGAAGACCATGGAGATGTTCACAGGTCACTGAAAGCCTTAAATGTTCATTTAACCCTTGGCCTTAGTGTCATGGAAACCTCTGGTCATCTTTCACTCCTAACATCTTTTCAACTGAAAATTCCTTTTGACCAGGAGATTTTCAATTACCTTATTGATCAATGTCATTCAAAAGATGATGAGCTACTCATTTATGCAGTAAAAAAGAAGGGCAAAAACTAATTAGATGAACTTTGGCTCATTTAATGTTTCCAGAGATATGATAATGAAAGCGTGCTATAAGAAGTTACTAGAATTCTGTAGAAGTATTTAATTTGAAACAAAGAAGTAACTACAGCTAAAACTTGATGAATACGTTTCATTCTGATAATGAAGGCTCACGTTTTCCTGGAATTGAAAAATCGTTTATAATGTTTTGTGCATTGTCTTTTATTTTGATTCATAAAGAGACCAATTAGGTCAATTGGTTTTTGAATTAAAAATAATTATTTTATTTTTCATAGGTTTTATAATGAATTTAGTACATTTAGTACATTTGACTGGGATACACAATATCTTGATATGCAAGGGACCTGTATCATAACTTTTATTTAAATTAAAATTGACAGGTTTTCTCAATGAAGGTTCTTAAAGACCTGTTAATTTTAATGTTTTCTTCCCCAAATCCATGAAATTTAGCAACAAAGACAATGCATATAGATTGGGTAAAAGTTATGTAAAATGGTACTTATAAAAGCTGGTAGACAAGGGAGTTTATGAAATTATGGAAAAAATCAAGAAAATGGATTGTTGATTACATGCATTGTAATACAAGATGATCTTTTTTGAGAAAAGACACTATTTCTCATCACAGTTGCTAAGCAATAGTTGAAATTCACCCTTCTTTTTTTTTTTCTATGGAGGCATATATGTATATATATACACATACATAAACATATAAGATATAAAAGTTTTTGGATAATTAACCAGTGTCTGTTGTCTAAATTGTTATAGAATTTTCTCTTTATAAAGTCTACTTTGGACTTGAGCTTATCAGTTCAATTATGACATGATTTTCTCATGAGTTCTAAGTGAAACCTCCTTACCTCTGATAATTCTGTATTTCTATAAACCATTTAAATAGTGCTAAGCATTCTGATGTGCTTTTTAAATCATATCAAATGCTCCAGAAGGCACTGAATACACAACTATGAACAGTATTGCATAAATAAAAAGCACACTGTATTTTTATGCAATTGTGGAAAATTTATCCAATGGACACAGGAATTGAAATATTTGTAAACACTGATTTTATGTGAAAATTCTATTGTTTTCATATCATACAATTTGATACCTTACTTGGCTAAATTAAGTATATCAAACAATATCATTCAAATGATAATTTGAAGATCAATTTCATAATTTTGGAAATAAATCATATAATCAAATATTTTAACATTAATGAAAATGTTTCAGCTTATAGAAATATAATGCACAACTATTGTCATGAAGGATGAAATATGTATTGAACACTCAAGACTGGTTCTTCACTTTTTATTATAGCTATAAATTTTCCATGTTTTCATTTTAATTTCAATGTGACTAACTGTGTCAATACAATTAAAACTTTCTAAAATGTCAATATTTATACCAGTATTATTTTAATCATATTTAATGAAGAGTAAGTTATTAAACAATAGTATTGTCTTAGTACAGTATATATGGTATGTATGTATGGTAGATATATCATAGGTGTTGAATATGTAAAGTACAAATAGTGTATGGCTTTGGGTTTTGACCTTATTTTTAGTGTCAATATGCTAGGACTGTTTAATGTTATAGAAGTTAAAATATCCTAAATATGGGTTCATCTTTTAGTTTTGACAGATAGACCTCCACCCATAATCCTACAAGGCCCAATAAACCAGACGCTAGCAGTGGATGGTACAGCATTACTGAAATGTAAAGCCACTGGTGATCCTCTTCCTGTTATTAGCTGGTTAAAGGAGGGATTTACTTTTCTGGGTAGAGATCCAAGAGCAACTATCCAAGAGCAAGGAACACTGCAGATTAAGAATTTAAGAGTAAGTACTCTTTGGCTTGTATTTGTATCTTCATCTTAACATAAGTACTGCTCTAGGAAAAAAACTGTGTGGTGAACTAAAAATGTTACATCTCAGAATAATTGTTGCACATTTTGTGATAGGTCATATTATTTCTTAATTTAAAAATGATTAATTGAAATGAGAGGAAAGGTCATTATTCTTATGTTACTCAAAAATTCATAACAGATACAGAGTATATTTACTTCTGTATCCCATCTTGTAGGTATGTAATCAATGGAACTAGAAATATTAAACACATAAAGTTAGGAATAATAGTAGTATATTTAAAATTATTTTAAAATACAAGTTTTTCTGAATTTACTCTTCTTTTTAAAATTAATTAATTATTATTTCTGTTTATTTGTTTATTCATATGTGCATACATTGGTTTGTGCTGATTTTACTTTTCTTTATAAAGAAAGATTGTAGAGTTATGTAGATAACTTGGCTTGGTCAAATAATGGTGTGGGGAAAAAAGTGATGAGTTTGAGTTCCTAAAGGCAGGCTTGGCTAGATGGAGTCAACCTTTGGAATTTAGGTCAAGTTATTGTGGGTTATTCACATAACCCATGAAAGAGAATAAGCCATTGGTCTTTTAAATTAAATTTATGTGCTAGAGATAGCCATACCTGGAAATTTAGTAAGTTGAACCTGTGTCAGACACAACCCAAAATAAATTTTGAAGATTGTATTAGTAATTTACTATTACTATGTAATAATATGAAGAAAAACAGAGGTTTAAAGTGATGCACACAGGAATTTTCAGGTGTTCAGGGTTCTTGGGTCCACCTTGAGAATGAAAGCACAGGTGGTCTCCAGCAGCAGAGGTCGGAAAGATTTTATTTGTAGAGAAGAGAAGAGAAAGGCTGCATGGAGGCATGCAGAGGGATCCATATACCTGTAGTTCAATGGGTCAGGCTATAGATTGGGTTTTATAGCCTTTTTGTGTAGTACCCCAAGGAAGAGATGTCTCTCAGGTGCAGACAGAAGTTTCTTGAGAAGGAGAATTGGCTCCTTGGCCAATTATCACCTTTTTGGGACTTCCTGCAGTCTGTCCTTCAAGTCCCCCCTCTCAGTGATCGCCTTAACTGCTGTTAGGGATAGGGATGATGAAGTCTATTCAGTGACTGCTTCCTCCTGGCAGGGGGTGATGAAGGGGCCCATAGCACCAGGACTGTCCACGAGAGAGAAGTTAGACGGGAACACGATAGTAGGTCCACTTCATCTCCATCAGGGGCATTTGTAGTTTGATGGATTCTAGGGAAGAAGAAACAAACTTGACAAGTAAGTTTAAAATGCAAGGCCCAAACACAAGTAAGAGAATAATGGCAACTATAGGCCCCAGAAAGGGTAGGAACCGAGTCCTGGAGGGGAGCCAGGATTTTATTTGGTCCCATACCTGTGTAGAAACCTGAGTTTCGAGAGATTGCTCCCAGAGCCACTTAGCCTGTTGGAGAATGTAGTCTGTACTTTCCTCTACAATGCCTGAAGTGTTTATGTATGTGCAACAGGAAGTATTGGCAATGGTGCATACCCCTCCTTATTTAGCCAAAAGAAAATCCCAGGCCAGGCAGTGGTCCATGACCATACAGCAAGGGATGACGAAGACCTTTGCATGTCCTTAATGGCAAAGCCTACCTGGTCTGAGCTTCCCTTTACTACTTTGGTTAGTTTTTTTGCAGTTATGTGATTGGAAATAGCCTCATAGCTGATTCCAGCTAGGGCTGCAATCAATGTTGTTATCCCTAAAACTATTACAGTAATGTCCCTTTGATCTCTATGGGAAGTTGTTCTTGTTGTAGTTAGCACTCCTCTTTCCTTCCAGATGGCTGCATAAGCATTCAGGATCAGGAAGACATACTCAGAATCTGTATAGATGTTGACTCTCTGTTCTTTTGACAGTTTTAGGGCTTCCGTTAGGGCCACTAATTCTGCCAGTTGAGCACTTGTATTAGGAGGAAGAGGACCTGATTTGAGGATGCCAAATTCTGTCACAACTGCAAACCCTGCATGTCTGATATCATTCTTGACAAAGGAGCTGCTGTCAGTGTATAATTCTAGATCTGGACTTTTTAAGGGCCAATCAGTTAAGTCAGGTCAGGCAGCATAATTCTCCATAAGTACCTCCTCACATGAGTGTTTCATGATTTCCCTCTGCGTCTGGTAGAAGGGATGCAGGATTTAGGCTCTGAAAGGTCCTTAAAGTTATTTCTGTTCCTCCCAGAAGCTGAGTCTGGTATTTAAGTAGACAGCTGACAGGCTGTCAGATAGCCAAAGTTCTCCTTTTGAGTTTAAAATTCCCCCTAGGTCGTGTGGGGTATAAACTGTTAGGGGATGGTTTAGGATAAGTTTCTGAGCTTCAGGCACTAGAAGAATAACTGCAGCAATTGCTTGAAGACATCCTTGCCATCCTTTGGCTACCTGATCTAATTCTTTGCTTAAGTAGCCTACTGGCTGGGGAGTGATGCCCCAGAGCTGAGTCACCACTTCCAAGGCCAGTCCTCCCTTTTCATAGACATATAATTGAAAGTTGTCCTGTACTGGGAGACCCAGAGAGGGAGCTGTCATAAGGGCCTTTTTAAAGTGGTGGAATGCATTTTCTGACTTGTCATCCCATTCAATAAAGGGCTGGATATCCTTCTGTGCTTCCTTAAGGATTTGATGTAAGGACCTGGTTAGATCTGCATATCCCAGTAACCAAATTCTACAGTATCCTGTCAACCCCCCAAAAGGCCCTCAATTCTTTCAGAGTTTTAGGTAGGAAATATCAGGATCAGATGGATGCTGGCTTCTCCTAAAGCCCTCATTTCCTTCTCCAAGACAAGACCTAAATATGTAACCCAAGACTGACACATTGGGCTTTTTCTTTAGAGATTTTATGTCCTCGACCTGCTAGGAAGTTTAGTAAGGATTCAGTGGCTCATGAAATGACAGGCTTAGTCAGTACATGGAGCAGGAGGTCATCTACATATTGTAGCAGAGGAGCTTGTGGACATTGCTACCCTGCCAAGTCTTGGGATAGAACCAACCCAAAGAGATGGAGGCTGTCTCTGAATCTCTGCCTGCTGACCTGTCCAGATTTTCATGTGGGGTCCTCAAAGGTAAAGATAGGTTGACTTTTAAGATGTAAGGGAATGTAAAAGAAGGCATCCTTTAAGTCCAGGACAGAGTAGTAAGCAGTACCTAGAGGTATTTGTGCTAAAAGCATATAGGGATTTAGAACTACAGGGTGGAGAGGCACTACTGCTTCTTTGATCAAGAGATCTTGGACTAGCCTCCATTTGTTAGGTCCCTTCCTGACACTGAGAATAGGAGTATTATATGGGCTGGAGCATTCTATTAGCAGCCTCTGTCTTTTTAAGTCTTTGATTATGGGAATTAGCCCCACCTTAACTTCTGGCTTTAAAGGATATTGTTTTTGATAGGGAAATCAGGAGGGGTCCTTGAGATGAATTAGGACTGGAACAGCTGTTCATGCCTGTCCCACAGTATGTCCATCCATCCACACCATAGGGTCTACTTGTCCCTCTATAAGGGGCAAGCAAAAGTACTCTCCTGGAGGTAAAAGCAGCTGTACCCTCAATTTAGATAGAAGGTCTTCCTCTAACAGAGGAGTAGAGTTTTCTGGGACAACTAAAAAGGAGTGACAGAAGTGGAAATCTCCCCAGGAGCAGGCTAAAGGCTGAGTGAAATAATGCTCTAGGGGCTGGCCCGGTATGTCCTGAACAGTAATTTTCTTGGAGGACCTGGGTCTAGGAAAGAAAGGAATAGCTGAAATTCTGGCTGACCTTGTGCTTTTCAATAGTAAATATCACCTGGAGTTCTCTGCTTTTGTGGTGGTTACAGGACCCTGGATAGGAGGTCCTGGGACCCATCATTGGGTGGAAGCTCTGGCCTCAGTTCCCCTGGAAACCAAGGACAGGGTACCTTCCAATGTTTTCCCTGACAAATGGAGCAAGGTCCTGGAGGTAGCTTCCTCCAGGGGCACTCCCTCCTAAAATGGCCTGCCTGTCCACATTGAAAATGTCCTCTGGTTTGGACTCTGCCCTGGGCGAGCCTCTCTGACTCCTGTGATCAGAACCTCCTGCCATTTATCCTTTCTCTTTTCCCTATCCATGTCTTTCTTTTCTTTTTCTAAGTCCTTATTACAGTTTACAGATGTGGTTATATGGATCAATTGGTCTAGAGCTCTGCTCCCTTCAGCCACCAGTTTTTTTTTTTTTCTTTTATTATTCATATGTGCATACAAGGCTTGGGTCATTTCTCCCCCCTGCCCCCACCCCCTCCCTTACCACCCACTCCGCCCCCTCCCTCTCCCCCCAACCCCCTCAATACCCAGCAGAAACTATTTTGCCCTTATTTCTAATTTTGTTGTAGAGAGAGTATAAGTAATAATAGGAAGGAACAAGGGTTTTTGCTGGTTGAGATAAGGATAGCTATACAGGGAGTTGACTCACATTGATTTCCTGTGTGTGTGTGTTACCTTCTAGGTCAATTCTTTTTGATCTCACCTTTTCTCTAGTTCCTGGTCTCCTTTTCCTATTGGCCTCAGTTGCTTTTAAGGTATCTGCTTTAGTTTCTCTGCGTTAAGGGCAACAAATACTAGCTAATTTTTTAGGTGTCTTACCTATCCTCACCCCTTCCTTGGGTGCTCTTGCTTTTATCATGTGCTCAAAGTCCAATCCTATTGTTGTGTTTGCCCTTGATCTAATGTCCACATATGAGGGAGAACATACGATTTTTGGTCTTTTGGGCCAGGCTAACCTCACTCAGAATGATGTTCTCCAATTCCATCCATTTACCTGCAAATGATAACATTTCGTTCTTCTTCATGGCTGCATAAAATTCCATTGTGTATAGATACCACAATTTCTTAATCCATTCGTTGGTGGTGGGGCATCTTGGCTGTTTCTATAACTTGGCTATTGTGAATAGTGCTGCAATAAACATGGGTGTGCAGGTGCCTCTGGAGTAACCTG